GTTAGGTGAAACTCATTTGTGGTGTTTTTGCACCTTTTTTTTTTTAACCCAATGAAACATATTTGCTGTGTTGTTATTCAGGTCATTGGGTTTGTTTACTGTGGTTGAGACAGAAGGTGAGTGTGTTTCCTTTTTCTTTTCTTTCTTCCACTCTCTGCAAGTTGAGTGGCTGTGTCTGGGTTGAACTGCTGTACTGAAGGTCATTATCAGCATTTTTCCTGGAACAAATAACAGATTTTCTGGTCTTCTTTAAAATGAACTTTACAAGCCCAAAAATAAGTCTGTTTGCTCCATTTATTTATTTTTTCTATACATGAATACATTTAATAGCTTATTTATTTGGTCAGGAAGTAACTTCGACCAAACAACATGACTGATGCTGATATCCAACATGTAATTAAAGCCTAACAATCAGCCCAGTCTAATCCTCTAAATGGCAACATTTTCAGGTATGTTGGCCATGTGTGTGATTTGTGTATGTAATTTTTACATTTAACCACACTGGTTGATTTGTAAACTGATCTGAGCTCATCATATCACATCATATAAAATGCTTTATTTCAACTCTCACTCACCTGATATGTGCTTTCTGTCAGCTGTTTCATTGTTGTGAGATGTTCAAACTGTATTCCGTCCGTTTTACTTACATTACCAGAAATACAGATGCCTGGCGCTCGCTGTCCAAGGTTCTGAATTAACTACTAAAATGCATCAAGTTCTGTTCTTTGTCTGCTTGTTGGTAAAATACAACTTTATCAGCTTTACCATTATCTGAAACAAGTTTTGGAGTGTTCAGTGTAAAAGCTACAGGAGGTTTTTGAACACACAGTGAGAACATTTGATAATAGATATATAGATTTAGCAAGAAAGCGCTATAAACCTTTATCTTCTAAGTTTGTTCTCAAACAGCAACCAGCTACTTTGAATAAAGCTACAACACAGATGCAGAACCTGGTAAGAGAGAGTCATAGAAACATAGTAATTGCTAGTCATTCCTAATATTCTGAATAAATAGCATTATTTAAGCTTGAAGTGCTATTAATAGCATGTGGGATGACATTTATATTCAAAAAGAAAAATAGTTTCATCAAGAATACCACTGATGCAAACAGTATTTCATTTGAAATACAGAGTAAAGATCTCAATCTTTATTTCTACTGGCCTCACTCCAACTGCTGCCAACTATAAACCTGAGTCCAGACCAAATCAATCTAGCCACACAATCAGAGAGCACAGAGTGGCCCATAGTTGGAAATAGATTAACTGAGATGCATTGCAGACAAACTAGGACTACACAGAATGAAAACCTGTGTGCAATGTGATCTCTCTGTCCTGTGAAGTGAGAAGTACAGTTTTTATTGGAACAGGATGTGGTACAGAAACCTGTTCCAGATTCTGAAGCAGAGTTTGACCTCTGTGTCTTGTCTGTCTGCAACAAGCACCAGGTGACTGAAGTTGTTTATTATTAATGTTGTTGCACAGAAAAGTAGGTTATTAAAGGAAGTTTCACCGTCCTGAAGTGTTTGTTGCTCTATTTATTTTTTTATTGTGGAGAACTTTATGACTTTTTGCCCAACTGTGTCTGCGGTAATCTCACATGTACTGGCTTTCACCTCTCATACCTTATTTGCCAGGTGAGGTGGGCGTGTGTGTCCTTTTAGTCCACCCATCCATCCCTCCATCAGGAGTCTTGACAAGGTCCATGTATCACTTAGCCCTGGGCTGTCAGGCCTTTCCTATAAGCCACCGCTGCCTGTAAGATTAATGGCTGTCTTAATCTCACACTTAGAGACTGCTAATAGCTGGACCTGCAGGCAGACAGAGAGACCTCTCCTGCACTCCACAGGAAAAGATATCCTCACTTATTGTGTATATTTTATCATTTTGTTCAGCTACCTTTGTAAAATACAGCCAGTGGCGGACTCAGGCTGTTTGAGCTGCAAGGGCAAAAAACAAATAAAGAAAGGCACCATCTGTGTGCGGTGGGGCACCAGTGTGCGGAGAGTCATGATGTATTTATTTATCTCCACTGCAAGGGCACCCTTAGGGCACTGCATCAGGTTTTGTCCACTGAAAGGGATGGCTGTCAATTTTTCCAACAATTTTTTTTTAAAGGACACAAAATCTGCTCAAATAAATTATTTAAAAAATATAATGTAAAGTCTATACTATAGCATAAGACTTTCACTCTTACTGAACCAATGGCCATATATGCAACATATACTCTTGCATAAATCTTGCTCTCTTTTCGGTGATGGCATTTTTACCAGAAGCTCGACTCGTCTGTGATGCCTCCTCCCCGCTGCCTCACTTGGGTGGCAAGCTAACAATTGAGTCCACAGATTTGTTGTCATTGTAGAGTTAGAGAGTTGTTTTGTACAAAGTCGACAGAAGCACGCTGCTTCTCAGATGTTTTGGTGTCACGATTGTCCACTCAGGACAGCTTTGCTGCTCTATGCTTTGCTTGCTAGTGTCCTCCAGTTTTGTAGTTATGACATTACTAGCTTAGTTTACTGACAGATCAGTAGGGTATGCCATCGATCTGATAGCAGAGTGTCCTCTGTTGGATCACAAGGGAAACTACTTTGCATTCTGGACTGTAGATTTTGAATTCGAAGAGGTTACATTACACTTCGAAAATGAACCGCACAAATTTAAAATAAAAAGTGACAGCCCTACTGGAAGGGCACCCATTAGGGAACTGCATCACATTTTCTCCACTGGAAGGGCACTATAGAGGGCACGGCATCACTTATCATTATTTTAGGGTTCCTTATTGTCTGCTCATGACAAACACACAACTCTTGTCTCCCAGGTTGTCTCATAATTGTATACCGATATTTTTGTCTTGGTATGTACAACTGTGGGTGTTTTGCATACTTTCAGTCGCTGTAACTCAGAGGTTTTTAGTCCTGTTCCTCTAAGTTTCCTGTTGTAAGAAGGTCAACAAAAGTCATTCTGTTTTTGTGTTTATCTGTTAGACATCTGTTTCAAACATCTGTTTAGGACCTCAGATTTATTCAACCACGTTAATAAATTATAAGCAAAGCTAGTGAACAGGTTTGTGGTGGGCTTGACATTGAACACAGTGTGATCCTGACACTGGTTTGAATCCTTGAAATAACATTAAGTGGATAGATAAACGACTCCCAGCAGCTGTTGGCACCGTGTCCTTTGGCAGTGGGATGTGACAAATAACTCAGTTACATTTAAATATAATGTTAATGCACCTTTTAGTAACAAATTTCAATTTCAATTCTAAACTTTTTATGAAACATTCACAAAGGGGTTAGAGTTAGCCAACCCAAAAATAACTCTTTACTCTTAACTCTATTAGATAGCATAGAAAGATCAATGAGAAGAAAATGCTTTTTACTTTTCTCATCATCTACAGAGGCACATAACATTTTTAGTTTATAGAAAAGTAAATGGGTATTAGTGATTTGGGTATTTTGTGCAATAAGGTAAGTAACACACTGAGATAAGGAGGAACCAGGCTAGGGAGAGCTACACAGTAGTGAATGGACTGAGACTTTGGTGATGCAGGTAAAGCAGGTGGGTGACTGTGTACAACCAGGTCCCGCTTGAATACTGCCATGAATAATAATGTCTTCTCAGTCATTTGACAGTAATTACATAAATGAATGCTTATTAGCCAATTCCTAGTTTATGAGTGTGCATGCAATGAGTTCATTAAATCTCCCATAAGGAATTTATGGAGGGAGAGCTGCCACTTAATGGTTGAATAAGGACCTATTAAGTGTGTTTAGAATGCTTTGTGGATTATACTTGCTGTTATAAACCATAATATGTCCCAAGTATATGATCATCAATTACTAAGACATAAATGAGGATGATCATTTTGTCATTTTAAGTTGCTCTTTCTTTCTCTCCCTGTTTTCTGCCTGAGCTAGCTCAGACGACAGTCGATTCAGTGCAGACACGCAGTATTGTGCGTGTCCTCGTGTTACAAAGAGTTGAGAAGACAGCACCTCATGCTCCGCATTGTGTCAGATACTGATTCTAACAAATAAGCATGCACATGATGTAAGGCTGCTCGACTGCCATTCAAATGCACCTTGATGAGTTGTCTTACATTTTCCACAGTGTTTCGATTTGAGCTTTGCAGCACTAGTCAGTCATGTTGGCTGAGCTGCATAATCAAGTGTCTCAATAGCACCTTTCTTTAAGACAAGATGACAGTAGCTCTTTTCTGCTTCCTCTAACAGAAACTCTATTGTCATATTATGCAGAGAGATAGCTGTCTGACTCATTTGTTGCACTTTGTCTGGGTCCAAGGTTTATGAATATATGTAGTGGGGGAGCAAAGGAGAGGGATTCTTTGGTTTCAGATTTGTGTTTTTCTTTCAAAAACATCCTCAGCCCTCTTTTGTTAACCCCCTCCCTATACTAATTACCATAAATGCAAGCCTATAAAAAACGTGTCAGCTCGAGTTCTTCAGGTTTAGCAGAATTAATAAATAACAATTATGTAATCGTGATGTCCAAAGCATGAGCATAAAGCCACATTTTAAACAGAAAAAAAGACACTTGACCGCAGCCTTGATTTCTTTTTTTAATGTTTTTATGCACCTCAAATTTGTGCTACAGTACTTGAGTAAATATACTTAGTTGCATTCTACCACTGTGTAATCGTAATTTAATAGTACGCTTTTATCTGAAGGTATCAGTGGTGAAATGCTCCGTTACTGACTGGACCAAATCTGATATTGATATTAGGAAAGCGTTAATCCTAGTGACCTGATAGTAAATGTGTGTGTGTGTGTGTGTGTGTGTGTGTGTGTGTGTGTGTGTGTGTGTGTGTGTGACAGAGAGAGAGAGAGAGAGAGAGAGCAAGAGAGAGATAGGGAGAGTTCCACTGATGGATCTGAGAATATCTCAAAAGTTCAGACTGCGCTCGAGGCTCGCTGTCTCATGCTGCGTGTCATCAGTCTGACAGTTTCTCACTCACACAGAGTGCAAAGGACGGGAAGCGAGAGTGGCACAATGATATGTTTATTTAGAAGCTTTGGATAATAGAAAAGGTGGTGGCTGCTGCTGGAATGTCACAACCATTGACAAAAAACATGGACATGAACTCCCTTATCTAGACAGACACACACACACTCACATACGCACGCACACACACACACACACTCTCCCATCACTTCCAAGAGAGAAAAAACTTACGGCAATGCACAGGACAAGACGGTAATCACAGTTTCTACAAGCTCATTTCTACATGAAAAATTCACAGTTACACATATATGAGGGAGATTTTCTTCATAGGCACGGCAAAAGCAATAACATGTGTATCTCAACAACAACAAAATAAATGATAAAAATAAAACATTTTGCACACTTCATAAATCCCCCAAGGGCCCCAGATGAACTGAATGTTTACACTGGATCTGAGGTGGGAACATCCTCGATTTGCAGCCCTGCAAGGACTTGAGTGAAACATTGCACTCACACCAAAGGAGAAAATGGTATAGGGGGATAGGCAAAAAAGGTGAAAGGAGCAATAAATGCGTTTTCTCTTAACTGGACTAATAGCAGACTAAGCACTCAGTTCATCCGGTCACTCCCTGTATACATCTTTATATTATCTCTCTTCCTATACATATACACATTTAGGATTTGCAGAACTTGGGACTGAAACATTTAATATAAATGTAATCCCAGGTCAGACAGAAGAATGGCTATTAGAACATTGTCAGTCTACATACAGCTCCACTGGTCATTGTCCAGCGGTGACAACGCATTGAAATAATCAGATACGAGTAAATCACATACAGACAATATCACAGACGGTTTACTTGAGCCGTTTTTTGCTCTTTTTCTATATTTGCAGTTCAACTTCAGAAAGTTCACTGTGTTGTCCTGTCTGTGCAGCACGCTTAAAGAGTACGCTAAATATATAACAAGTAATTCATCGATAATTTAGCGGCCCTCTTCTGCACACCGACACAACAGGAATGCCAAGACAGACCCTCGCACTCCTCCTCGCCTTGTCTTTGGAAAACCTTGTGCTCAGATAGGAAAGACAGTCAGTGACGTTCTCCTCCTCAGGTTTTAATACATCTACTGCAGCAGCCGGACTGTGAAAAACACAATAGCACTGTGACAGGATTTAGCTCACACTGTACTGTAGCCTTGTACTTTGTAAATGAGCGCTGCTGAGTAGTAAGCTGGTGTTTTCATTCGTGTGAAGGAAAGCAAGCGCAATTGTTTAATCAGGACTAGGTTGGGTTGTTTGTTATTCTGTTATTTGGTCGGTACCTTACAGTAGCCTCGGGGAACCACACGGTCAAACAAGGAAGCACTGAGGCGATAAACACTTTGTTTCCACGCAGTTTGACAACACGTAGAAGAGGAGATCTCAAAAACTGAGGAATATTGCTGGCATTTAGAGTCACACAACTGCTACACCAGAAAATAAACACCCAAACTTTTAAGGTGTATGCTTTAAATTAGAATTTTAAACATGAATTTAACTTCCTAATAATACACCAATGTTCTGGATTGTGATATTTCATTAAATAAAAGCTGAATCAAAGTCCCCAACATACCGAACCCTGACTGGCTTATCCAAACCAGGTAAACCTGCTGGTGGAGGTTTTCTATTTCAAATAGTGAAAACTGGCCAGATTGGACAGATTCAAGTAACTCTCTAATGGGAGCCAATCCGGTGAAGCTGTGGTGTGTTTTTCTGGAGGTTATGCTGCGTTCATGTCATTTCTAAGTTATTCGTAATTATCATGTTACAACCAGAGTAGTTATAGTTTTGTATTTTTTATTAGTTTGAAAAAAAAGTTTTTTGTTTTCATTTTGGTCACTTTGTTCTATTAGTAGTATTAGTTTTTTTGCTTAAGTTAACTAAAATGTTTTTTTTCACACCTGGTTTAAGTTTTTTGTTTAGTTTTAGTAACTATAATAACCTTGGTTCCAACTTGTAGAAGTCGTTCACATCAACATCCAAGTACTCCAGTAATTATGACTCAGAAACTAAGATGTTCGACTGAAGTTAAAGAAACATGGATGTCAGCAAAAGTCTTTCATTCAAGGTTAATTAAACCCAAATGGATAAAGTATTACGTGTTGTCATTTAATAGGACAAACTGTCTTGAGTTGTCAGGTGATGTGAATGCTCACAAGTTGTAAACATGGAAATCCTCTTCTTCATCCAGCCATCCCATATGACATGAATGCCGCATTTGCCTAAACATCAATCCTCCAGAGTTTGCATTTCATCAATGAGCCAACAAGGCCAGTCCCATTTCAAAGGCTCCTCCACTAAAGGCCAACATTTGGACTAAAAATCTGTAGGACAAATCAGGCCCTCAAGATTCAATTCATCTATTAAGTGCTGATCGACTGTTCATTAGAGCATTCAGGCAGTCTTTGTCAACTCGTAAATGGTGTTAAGGTGGACTATCACTGGTAATCATATCACATGGACTAGACCAACAAGAGGTTGTAAATAATGGAAGCCAGGCATGAAATCCACTATTTGCAGCATGGACATGTTATTCACAGGGCATTACAAATAAATGGAAGTAATATGGATGCATTTACCATTAACCTGGTCCACTATTTGCCTGGAGTTCATTGTGGGTTGACACTAAACATCATACTGCAAATTTAGTTGGCTGTCTGATGGCAACATCCTGTAATAGACATGGACATTATCGACTTTACGATTTGACAAGGAACACCCCATTAGTGTTTATCTCTGAGTGTAAAACCACTGTCCCATTTAGAGGAGAGGAGCAGGTTCAGCCTCACTCACTGTGGTCCGCATCGTTCAGAGGATCCAGCCCCTGAATTTGGACACATCTCCAAACTGCTTGGAAAGCATTGTGGATTTTTTGAAAAAAAAAAAAAAAAAACTACTTTAAATTTAACCACTCAAAACAACACACACCAACAATGTCTTCATTAAATGTTTGTTACACATGTAGACGTTCTGAATTCCTGATATATGGGTAACTTGAAGCTGGTATCTTATTCATTTATACAATTTCTTTCCCTATTCTGAATGTCTGGCTATGTGCTACTGGCTGAATTAGCTACCACAGTGATACTATTGCTTCACATACGGCAGATAATAATGAATGCTGGATGCTCAGAGACAGTATTCAAAGCAACGATATACACATACAGCCATGGGAATGGCATGAGGGGAAGGATTTTTAGCCAAAAGTTTTTAATTTGAGATAAAACTTGTCATCTTCACAGCTAAAATGGTTTATCACAGTGGAGATGGCATTATGGCGCAGTGTGTGTGTGTGTGTGTGTGTGTGTGTGTGTGTGTGTGTCTGTGTGTCTGTGTGTCTGTGTCTGTGTGTGTGTTAGTATTTTCCTGCATGAGTAACAGACGTGTTTGTTTGCTGTGTGCTTGTTTAGATAAGCCTGTGCCTGGATGTGCTGCTTCCACTGTGTCTGAGTGAGTGTGTGTGTGTCAGCTCAGCAGATGGAGTTTGATTCTCACCACTGGGAAATCTCAATCCCACAATGCACTGGGAGCTGCGCCAAATGAGGAAGCAGCAGCAGCAGCAGCAATGAGGAACCAATCACAGCTTGAATACTGAAAAAAAAAAAGTGCATTCCCTCTCTCTCTTCTGCCCGTTGCTGTTCCTCCAGGACCAGCCATTGTTGTGCTATCCATCAAGACGAATTGGGTCTATAGCATGAGTTAATTCTTAACTCATAAAACACACACGTGTATCACAGACACAGTAAAACCGATTAACACAGATCACAAAGGAAAACGGGGACAGAGTGAAGGTTCCCCATCCTTCCCTCTTTGTTTCTGGGCAGACAAAAGCAAACAGAAACGTCTGGAAATCCTGGCTTTGGAAAATGACAACAGCAAGAAGATTCCCCAGAACAAACCCAGATACATCATCCCTTTTGGGTCTATGTGGGTAATTATTCCAAATTTAGGCCTACTTTTACATGGGATCTCCTTTTTTCAGAGTCTTCCCGAATCCCCCAATCAGTCCGAAGGAACGTCTTTTGTGGGACTGCTGAGCGGTGGAGAGAGAGAGGAAAGAGGGGCTGATCATGTTTTCCCAGCATCGTCATGAGAACAGCAGAAAAACACAGCTTATCATACAGCTACCAGCAGTTAACATGAGGATTCAGTATAGTAACCAGTAAAAGCATGTGAATGTACCAAAAAAAAACCAAAGTGCTCTCAGTCAAGCGAGCGGTATGGCAAGACGATCTGAGAAAATCACTGTGACGTGTCAAAGCACACAGATGACATCACATTCCCCTGCCAACGCAAGGTGGGTTCAGATTTAAAAAATCAGATCCTTGTTATGGTGCATAAATGTGTGTGTGTGTGTGTGTGTGTGTAGGCTAAGGCTCGACCGACATGTGATTTTGAAGCCAGTATACTGCGCCAAAATTCAGCTTTTGATTTGAAATATTTCTATGGCCAAAAAGCATTTCAGTGTTTGCTTGAATTTTTATATTTAGGATGGAAAAGCCTCTGAAACAGCATTTAGTTCACTGAGGGACTTGAAAGCCAAACTAATGATATTAAGGCAGAGTGAGGCAGGTGTCATTGCAGGTTTTTTTTAAACACTAGACTGTGGAACGACATCTGAGGTTAGCTATAATTGGGGAATAAACTTCATGATATCAGAGTCAGATGACAACCGATATATTTTGGGCCAATGTCAGCAGTATCTATGCCAGCGAAATCATATATCGATATAACCCTAGAGTTTGTTTGTGTGTCTATATGTTTGCTCGCTCAAAGTGAAAAAAAATTCCATCCCCTGTAGCCCTTCTTTGGCGGGTCTGGAACAAAAAATGAGTCACTCCCCAACTAACCAATCACAGTCCAGCAGCAGATTGTGAGATTGTCACCGTAAATCGCTACGAAACACCTCCATGCGAGGTATGGACGGAGAAAAAATACTGAGAAAAAAGGGAGAGGGAGAAGATGGCTGGTTGGCCCAAGTGTTTTTCTTCGAGGTTTAGTCCAGTTAGCCGCCCTTCAGTCCCGTGCTAGTGCAGGCCCAGCAACTCCAGGCTGGTTTCCCAAAGGCTCAGCTGCAGCTGGGGTTCAAAGGTCGGTGGTGTTGTCATCTCCCTGCGCCCATTGGCCCAGTAGCCTCCACCACACTCCCCCTCCAGCGCTGGTGAAAGAGCGGCGTATAGCACGGTGGCAGCACCCTCTGCAGGAGTCTGAGGAAAGCACACGCACACACACACACACACACACACACACACACACACACACACACACACACACACACACACACACACACACACACACACACACACACACACATAAATACATATAAACATATACATTTCTAAATTAAAAAATGCATACCAAAAAAAAAACCCAAAAGGAACTGGAGTGACTGCAGGATGACAAGTTCAATAACAAGTTATCAGTGCAACAAACAAATAAGTGTCACTGTGTGTGTGTGTGTGTGTGTGTGTGTGTGTGAATGCGTAAGGAGGGCTGATGTCACTGTATGTTAGTGTCAGTAAAAAGAAGGCTGTGTGTGTGCGTCTGCATGCATAAGTGTGTGTTGGTGGTGATGCATTTTAACAATGATCTCAGTGTCAGCTGTGAGACCAGGAGCAGGTTTCAGAGCAGAGAGGGTATCACATCCTGCGAGCATCAACAAGCACACTTGCATACTTTGTGCGTGAACCAGCGTGTGTGTGTGTGTGCTGTAATACTCCACAATATTTCCAAACACGCATTTTAATTGTTCCTCTGAATTAATTATTATTTCGCTCGCAGGGCCAAATTTTTCAGCGCGAGGGACAATACAGGAAAACACAACTTGTGCTTCATTATTCATGTTGCTGTCTGTAGTCTGAAAGTCTGTTCACACATGGAGGGGTTTTTAGCGCTCCCTAGAACGCTTTTCGTGAGAAGAAAATAAAACAAAACAACTTGTTTCCATGACAACGGGCCACTCATTTCATTGCTGATTACATTTGACTGCTTATGACTTTCCTGTTGGAAAAAATAACCTTCGCCTTTGTAATTGTCTAGTGGTCTGTTTTTCTTGGTCAAAATTAAAATGTCTGATTGTGCTAAAAACAGTTATTAATTTTATTAAATGTCTCAATAGCACCGTTTGCAGTGTCATAGACATCCCTGTTCTTTTTCCCCCAGTGGCATTATTATGTGTCTTTCCCTTCCCCCCCAGAGATGTATTAACTCATATTAACCAGAGAAAGAACGATGTTGCAAAATCAGCATTTTTAATGAGTTCCAACGTCCTTAAAATTATCTCATGGAATATAAATTGGGTCTTAAAGCAAAGTGATATAAAACAATCTCACATTTAAAGTCCTTGGCAATGCGATGTTGCAGCGCTTCAAGACACCCACCTGAATGAGTCTGAATCACAAATGAATGTTTGCTTTCATTTTTTGGGTGGGTGGGATGTTTGGGTCGAGTGTTTTCTGTCCCAGCTAATGGAGCTTCAGGTATCTTGTTTTTGAAAAAGAACTGTCTCGAGTATTGTTTTTGTCTTTAATAATAATTTAAACAAAGAAAAGAACAGGCCACTCATTTCAGTTCATTATATTAGACTTTACTGCTTTTTCCCCATTCACTAATTACAAGGATTACTTCCTCTGAATATTGATTGCATCGTGCTGCCAAAAGATGCTGCTGGTTTTATTGACTTTTCAAAAGCGTCACAAGTCTGAGTGCCTTTCATCTCCTTTATTTCTCGTTTAAAACAGCCAGGGTCTGTTCAGATAACACACCTCATTAAGTTGAAACACAAAACGTCACAGTCAAATTTTTTTTTTGCAGTTTGTGACAAATGTATATATTCATAGTAGCTTTTTTTGGCCTTTTATTGCCTTTATTGATAGTGACAGCCAAAGATGGGCAGGAAAGGGGGGCAGAGAGAAAGGGGATGACCCGCAGCAAAGGGCCCGGGCCGGATTCGAATCCTGGGCTGCTGCAGCAACTCCGTACATGGGTCACCAGCTCTACCGACCGCTAACCGGGCGCCCCATAGTTGTTTTTAACCTTGAATTTTTATACATATTTTATTACTACATACTATATACATATATATTTATTTTACTGATTCTTATTGTTCTCTTTTGTCTTTTAGAACAACCTTATGAGCACACCACGTTTTGTCATTTGACTACATATATTACTTATGTATGTATGTGCAAAGGACAAATATAACAAGGTACAGTACATTACCAGGCACTATCACTGTATACATTAGCATCTTTTACTTTCTCTATCCCTCTTCTAGCCTTTGGCTCTACATGCATTCAAATGTTATGGCTTGAGATAAAAAGGTGTTGTAACAGGCGAGAATCCCAGTTTGTGTGTGTGTGGGTGTGTTAATGATTACATGCATGACTTTGTGTGATTAATGTGTTTGCGTATGTGGGGCAGAACCATCCCAAAGGTTGTGCTCGGAGGCAAATGCCTGTGACAATTGCAGTTTTGGGCTCAAACACGCACACACGTCTCCTTCCATTAAATCCCAGGGACATTAACAGCAGCCTGCAGCCAACGCTTTAAGCTATGCAAGAAATGTTTTAAAATATAACACAGTGAAGAGCCTGCCTTGATTTTTACCAGCACTTCCATTTTCAGTGATGTGGTTAGACTGTGTGTATGCGCAGGCATGACTGTCTGTGTTTCATCTTGTATAATATAATCCTGAACAATGCCTGCACTCGAGTCTGTTGTTTCAGGTCACTGAGGGTCCCTTAAAGGAAAAGTAACCCTTTCTTAACCGTTTCTTTACCGGAGAGCAAAGTTACTGTTTGTTAAATGTCTAATGTAGTAGCTAATATGATTGTTAGTAGGAAAAATATGATAACAATGATCGCTCACTGGATATGGAATACAATTTGCTACAGAGAGAGATTCAAGATTTCAACTTGACATTTGGTTCATTTGAAAAGTTGTAAAAAGAAAACTCAAGCTCCTCTGGCACTTGATTGCAAAAGATTTGGAGTGTAGGTGTTTTGGATTGCAAATCATTTACAGATCTTGAGAAAACACATTTAGACACTACATTTTACCTTATAGACATTTACATTCCAGACATTTAGAAGACAAGAAACTGAACTAGGACAACAGCAGAATAAACTGTAATTTGGGTTTTGGGATTGAAGAAGAAATCGAAGCAACAAAGATTAGGGTCTTGTTGTCCTTAAAATGTTTAACCAAAATCAAGGGTTAGAAACAGTAGTGAGAGTTCTTTACCACTCAGTGGTAAAGCAGAAAATACATTTACTGAATCGACATGTCAGCCATGTTTTATTTCAATTATACATCCTAATGGATTTCCCTACATAGTGTACTACTTAGTAATTAAATTATATAATTAAGTTATTAATCAAAAATTGCGGAGAAGCTTTACATAAATCAAACGCAGATGAATGTCAGGAAAGTGTTTTACCCTGAAAAGCAGGCGAGCAATGGCGCTCTGTGCCAGGCAGAGAGGTGTCCAGAGGTGGCGATATAGCGCAGTATCCACCATGCCAGGATCCACAGCACATGAACTCAGTGGGAAACCTCCACGCTGCAACTCCTGGTGGAGGTGGGAACTAAATAACAGCTGGGCCAGCTTACTGTGACAATAAGCAGCATGGGCTGAATAACACTGGCTGAGGAGAGAGAGAAAGCAAATGAAACACTGTGAGACTTGTAAATGAAAAAAAAGAAAAGAAATGTGCCTCTGTTTAAAGATAAAAGGCTGGTAAACAGCTCTTGGGGTTTATTTGGTCAGTTTTGTTCATTTCTTTTGAATCAACTGTTTTTCCATGTAAGAAGAACCTGTACCTCTGAACAAGGACAAGTTCTTATTATAGCGGAAACTTAACATGGCCTCTCTTAATCCTCCAAATTTGGCATACAAGGACAGACAGTGTCATCGTTGTGACAAATCTGAAACCAAGCCCAGACAACATCATTTGACTGCAGAGCCGCAGTGCCAGCAGTTTACAAAGAAGTACGGCTCAGAACTGGCAGTTCCAATCCAACCTGTGCCACCTATCTTCAAACGTAACTGCAACCGCAGTTCAGACCAGCACAAATCCTGATGTGCGCCATGTACAGGAAAGGAATCTGCAATTGTGACACCTGCCAGGCAGTGAATACTACATTGCAGGTTTTTTTTTTTTTTCTTGTTTGTGCATGTATGCACCTGTTAGATGACTTACAGCTCACATTTTCAACCTGCAAAGTGATCTTACTATCACTGTGGTGTCATCGAAATTATTTACACATCTGTCGATTGTTTAAATGGTCGATGCACAATATTCCATTTCATACAACATTATACTGATATCATGTGCACAAAGCCCGTCCGACTGAAACACATCTGTGAAACGAGACTAGACAGTATTTAATACACACTTGAGGATAATGATGTTGACGCACACAGCTATTACTTTCCTTCCCTCTTGTTGACAATACTGACACGTCCACATCTACACGTCTCAACTGTTGCCATGCAGTAGCTGCCTGATATCAGAAAGAATTTCAACTCCAATTCCATCTTCAGTCTGACATTACCTTCACTCTAACTAATTTCCATTGGGGAGGGGCATTTGATTTTCCCTAAACAATCACTAGAGACCAATGTATCCGCCTGAACATTTTAAGTCCACACTGATGCGTAGCTATGCCAGCATACTTAACCGGGGTGTTAAGAGTGGAGTTGAGCGAAGTTAAAACAAACAACGATGTCAGGCGATACTGAGGCGACATGCTGTCTAATTCAATAAACGTGTTAATCAAGGGGGTTGCATTATTACTCCTACTTATTTACAGCTTGACAACGCTTGACAACAGTTTGACAATGGCAGTAGTCCCGTCCATTGCACTGACTGGCTAATTGCTTGCAGCGTTCATTGGATAATCGCTTTTTCAACCGAGAAACTGCTGTTTCATGACATGATGCCAGAACAGAATCAGTCAACGCGGTGGGGCGGGCATATTCAAATGTTTGGACCAAGGATAATACAGTAGGTGAGTTTTTCAGATAGCTACAAGGCAGTAACATTAGGAACTTCACAACTGAGAATCTCAGCAGGAAACTCGAAGCCAATGTTTCTACGTGCAGCATTTATGAGATAATACAGCTGTACCCAACCTCAGAATTTGTCAGTACAAAGATTAGACTATTTGTTTCTCTTTTGAAAGGCCACACTAAACTCCTGTATCAGAGTCTCGTTTTTTAGCCTACCTTACATTTTAATGCCTCTCTACGTCATTTGTGATGTGAAAAGATCAGATTTCAAAAGAGAGAGAAAGTAGAAACATGAGTCCTGCTCATAGTTGAGTCCATAAATCCCAGCGTACGACTGAGCATCCCTCCTACCAGACGGCTGACAACGCTGTCAGACGAAAAGTCAATCACAGTAGAAGGCAATAGAGGAGATTGTACCGCCATCTGGTTTAGACGACTTTCACTGACAGTCATTACTGAAGCAGAGAGCGTCAGAGAAGCTAACAGACTCTTCTCCTCTATGACCCTTCTCTACTTCCATCAAAGTTAGTTTAGTGGTTTGTGGTCATTTTGAGACTCGGTTTGTAAAGCTGACAGTCTGCCGTGCTGTTGCTCGTGTATTTCTCCGTGTACAATGACTCAGCTAAAAATAAAAATGTCAGCTCGGGGTCTTCTCGACTGATGACTCGAATCATCAAGTTTTCGGGAGCACCGCTAAACAATCATAAATGAATAACCTGCATAGAGGATGAAGTTAAATAAATTACATTAACGTATTTTCTTTGTGGATATGTATGACAAATTACTTGCAGTCCATTTAAGATTTTTGGATCAAATTAGGATATTATTTTTATAAAATAAAATGCTGGCATGAGCCATAGCCCACCGCTAAGGTAATGCAACGACACAATGAAGATATTCAGGCTGCTAATGCTTCTGGACAGCAGTGCTGCTAGCTGGAATGAGACTGAGCCAACTGGAGCCAATAGTTGCTCACCTAATGCCAACAGAAAATCAGACCATTGTGTTGGTGATGCCAGCACAGAGGAAGTGCAGGTGAGTGTGACAAGTTGGCGCTTGAAATGTTTTTTTTGTTTTGTTTTAAACAACAAAATTAAGGGATCATTCCTGTATAATACAGCTGTTTTGTGGTTTTGTCCATAGAGGTTTGTTTACATCTAATCATCTTTTTATATATTGCCAGCATTGTTATATATATTTTGATGTGGTCACGACTGCTACAGTGTCTGTGTGTGTGTGAGCCTACCTGCTATTTAGGTCATTTAGTCTGATCTCGCCCATGCGGTGGGCAGAGGAGGAGACGTTGACCACACGGGAGAAGTAGCCACATTTCCCAGAATCCTTCAGTGTGTCCAGTAGCAGCCAGGTCAACAGGAAGTGGCCTAGATAGTTCACACCAAAGTGCTGCTCAAATCCATCCTCAGTACGGCCATCGGGAACCAGCATGACACCAGCTTGGCACACACAAAAATACATTTCAGTGTTTGGAGTTTAAAATTCCAATAATACTCAATTTTGTAGGAAGGCCTGATGTGTCTGACGCATCAACACCCAAGACAGAAGTACACACATAATGCAAACAGTCATATCATGTATATCTTGTACCGTAAGAGTCTCTAATGTGTCAGCGTTGTTCAGCACAGAGATCATTGTGTGTGTTGTGTTCTTTGTGGTATATATCTTTATAGGACCTTTAACTGGCATGTTGCTTCTGTTTCAGTCATACAGAGTATATACATATCAAATGGGTGGCTGAAATACTAAACTGGTGCAAAGTATCTCATTAAGTGTTTATTATTACTTTAAAACAATACTTATGCTGCTAATGCTTTAGATCAACCCAATGTTGATCTTCCAGTACTTTCAAAAAGGCTGAAATATACTGCATGTAAAAGATTTTTCAGTGAGCAGAATGTAATGCTTTAAATCCTTTTAAATTCAGTCAGGTGACAGCATCTAAATTACACTGCTCTGCAGAGGATTTAGCTGAATACTACACGGACTACTCTACATATAAAGTATACAGCACACACATGACGAACATGACATCTCCACCACTCACCATTATTGACCAGAATGTTTAACGGCAGGTCCCGCTCCTTGAAGCTCCGGACAAATTGACGGACAGACTGCAAAGAGGCTAGGTCCAGTTTCATGAACTCCACTGGAATGGACACACACACACACACACACACACAGTGGCACACACACACACACACACACACACACACACACGTGGCACACACATCAGAGCCATTGTAAACGGATTATTTCTGCAAGCAGTAAGACATCAAAGAGTGTATTAATCATCTCTTACAGCAGGCTCGCTGGGTTCTTACAGTACAATACTGGCAGCGCTACGCTTCTGTTGCTCCGGCACTTCATATCAAACTTAATACTTCTTCCTGAGCTCCATCAAAGCTTAACACACTGTTATATCAGGTCTAATGTATGATAAGACACAGGTAAGAAAGCAATGCCCAGGAGCTGGTATCATCAGAGCATGAAAGTGACTCTGTATGCTTAAGTGTAAGTGTATGTATGCAGAGAAATGACTTAGGGGATGCTGAACACTTTCTATATATACTTAAAACCTTGACAGACACATAGGACATCTACTTATGTATGAAGAGTGTTAATGCTCAAGCTGCACTACTATTGTAATACCTGTAAAGGTACGACAACAATGCAATTAGACTTAACAATGGCCAACAGATGATATGGGATTACTGTAAATTTGTCACACAATACTGAGTTGAGTTATCACAGTGTATTTACTCCGGCACCATGTTTGTGTGTGTGTATGAATGTAAATATGCATGTCTATCTGTACACTCATTTAGCTTGCTATCTGTCTACTGTGTGTTATGACTGAAGGTGACTGCTTCATGTTACGTAGAAGAGCACTGCCACATCTTTATTAGTTCTACGCTACTCTAAAAAGTATTTCCTGTTTCTGAGTGATTTAGAAATGTTTTAGAGAACGTCTGAGTGAGGAATCGACAAGAACTTTCTCCTCTTGGCAGAGGTTTAATCTAGATGTCTTTTTTTCCAGGTGTACCGCGCGTAACACTCTTGTGCCTCTTTAATCTGCTCAGCTCTGAAGCTTTTTATTTTACTTCAGTTTTAGTCCTTCCCTGTCTAAGGATGTTCATCTCCCTTTTCCCAACAGGCTCTCCCATTGGTGGAATGACCTTCCCAATCCACAGGACTGTCCTTGCCAATCTTAAACAGCAAATTGAAATCTCATCTCTTCGATAAGTGCTTTAAATTGTACCCTGCATGCTTTTCTACATTCGATTTCCTAACACATTCTAAGAATGAATAAATACTGCATGTGCTGTTTGCAGTGTAACACTATCAAGAATATTAAACATATTTACTGAATGGTGTTCCTTTGTACCATATTTCAATTTGTTTTTCCTTAGTTTGGCAGGAAACCATAGACTTAAACCACACAGCGGTGTCATTATTTTCCTCTCTAACATACTCCGGATGTGCAGGTGACAGGTGTAATATTCTATATCACAGCATCAGAGCGAGCAATGAGTCTGTGAGAGACACAGTGAGAGAGTAAACAATGAGAAACCAGGAGGTCATCCATACTGACAAGTTTGCCTCAAGGTGCTCTATTCACTTGTCTGGACCCTGATATTTTAATAGTACTGTCACCCTACCTGGATATGTAAATACCCTTGGCTCATTTTGGAGTCTGAATGACTTTTTTAGTATCTCACTAATCCTTTTGGGATAAACAACTGCTGCCAAAGTATTAAAACATGAGTGTACAGCCATCATACAGAAAAAAGACAAACAGTAAGCCTGTGTAGGGTCAAATGTAATAAACAAAGACAGAAAGAGGACTGAGAGAGGGGCGGAAGGAGAGTTGATGGAGCTGATAGAAAAAAAAGGCCGCTGTGACAGATGAGAGTGCAGCCGTCCCCGATGAAGTTCTGATAGCAGCCTTATCTTCAAGCCATGCCACTCACCTCCTGCTGAGTGTGTGTGTGCCTGTGTTCTTGTGTGTGTGCAAGACAGAGAGTGGGAGAAAGGAAAAGAAAGACGGAAGCGGAGAAAGGGAGTGTGTGCATTTGTATGACCGTAAGCACAACTGGATTGTATATATACCAGCAAATAAATGTGCATTAGCCAGAGAACAGATATGTGTGTGTGTGTGTGTGTGTGTGTGTGTGTGTGTGTGTGTGTGTGTGTGTGTGTGTGTGTGTGTGTGTGTGTGTGTGTGTGTGTGTGTGTCTCCTGCCTGTCAGTCCTCTCCTGTCCTCTTGAGCTGGCTCCCTTGAGGCCGGGTCCTTTCAGATAGGCCAGTCATATCTAGAAAGCCCACTGGGAGCGAAATGCCATCGATCGGGCATGGTCCTGCTGCTGCCAGCCGTCAATTAAGACCCCAGGATCTTCTATAAAACTCGGCTTCCTCGACTCAATAGTCAAACACACACTGACTGTGTTTTTGTTAGAGAGGAATTACTTGAAACTGACGACAGGAACTGGCCTTGGAGACACACGCTGTTTGAGACCCACTGGATCTATTCAAAGTCCCATTTCTAATTCATCATAATTATCATACAACAATAACTTGTTAACTGAAAATCAATTTTGAGTTAATGTAATAGCGAAGTGGGTTTAAGTCTTTTATTACAAGCGTTAAAGTCGCTTAATAAAACAGGGAAAGGTATTTTTCCATGGCACGCCAGTTGATGATTTAGTTAATTTTGGGTGGTGGAGAGTATAAAGGCATAACAATAAATAAAATTATATAATTTTTGCGTCCTTTGTTTATGTAATGACACATTATATCAGTGTGATGTTCAATGAGTTATCTACCTCCTCCTGACCAATTGGTGTCACCGTAGGAAAAGCACAGGCGTAAATAATAAAATGAATGATGGCAGAAACCCATTTAGCTGTTTCAATTTCAGGGTCCTGGTATTGTGCATGCTGGCTCACAATCACAATGTCATGACTTACTGGGACATTCTCACAATCACAATGTCATGACTTACTGGGACATTCGAATAGAACAGGTCCATTGGTAATGTTATTAGTAAAACCTGTGCTTTTTCTTACTGCTACTAAGTCAAAACGTCAAGAAACTTTGTTACGGTCCCCCTTCTCTACCTTACTGCTGTGCTTTTTGGTGTTAATTCCAAACAAAGACACTTGAATGCACTTATGTCACATTCATGACTTGTGAAGTCTTGAAGGGGGCAAAAGTCAAGGGATGGTTTCATGGAAGAATAACGATTTCTAACTCTGCTTCAGAGCTTGTGGACCATCACCTTGCCTTCCCCCTTTCCGTTTCCCTCTGCTACACAAACACCTCTGTCTTCGCGGCTCAACCAGTTGTTCTTTTTGGATGGAAAAGCAGACGTGTGTTTGTGTTATGCAATTGCATCTGTAATTTTGCACATTAAATGTGATTATAAATGGTTCCTGTCACATCAGTGCACAATCAGAGCCACTGTAGTACCACAAGGGGGAAAAAATGAATGCTTGTTGCAATAGAAAATTGAAAACTGTTTATACTGGGCTTCTAGAGTTTGTTCAGCATTTAGGTGAAAAGAAAGATCAAAGAAGCAAAAAATGGTCTAACAAATCCTAATGTGTATGTGTATAACTTCAATTATCACTTCATTACGAATGTTTTGGCCTGAAAAATACAATGGAAAATTAACAGTTTTCCCACTTGACTAGTAATAATAACAGTTCAGATGCTGGATTGAAACATCTTGTGCCACTTCTTCAGTAGTTAATCCTGTTTCTTCTACCGCGTTCCAAGTGTGATTAGATTTTGTGAAGAAGTACAAATGCACTCTCCGAGTTGTTTTTTCAGCTAGGCTTAAGCATATATCAGTAGACGTCCACGAAAATCTCCCTTTTACATACTCACACTTACACTTTCAACACAGGCTGCCTAGAATACGAGCACAGTCTACATCCTGAACAGCAGGTAATTAATATGTAAGTCGGCTAATGCCCATACCTAATACTCATAACTCATGCTGGTGCTGTAGCATCTTCTTCTGCTCTATTTTTTTGATCTTTGCAGAAAGGAATACGTTTTTAAAAAAGCAATAACATTTTTTTTTTAAATGATGAGGGAGGACTGCCTGCTTCTCTTACCATAAATCCCCTCTTTCCACCTGGCTTTAACATGCATCTTGTGCCCTGATTGTGACTACAGTAAATATGATTAAGCTGGATTATACCTAAATCTGATATTAAAATGCATCGCTGGTAGACACATCAAATTCTGCTTGCCAAAAGGCCAGAGATCTCACATGCTTTAAAATTGACAGCAAACAACTTGACATGTAATTAAATGTTTTACTGTCAGAGCTCTTCTGATTGTTTTGGTGGTCAAATATGACTGAACATCTTCAGATGTGTTTGGATGATCAGTTTTATTTTTGCTTTAAATACAACACCGTAAAAGACAACTCCAAAGTCATAAATTTGCCAGAATCTTAAGCTACATGTAATGTTCTTGGATCACATCCTGCTACAGCTACACCTTCCCTCTCTCCCAATTTACAATACTGTCTAAATAAAAGAGTGAAAATACAAAAGGATGAATGGATTGTGCCCTCTGAAAGCACCTCTCGTGAGACAAGGAAAAACTATAAATTCTTTCACTTTGAGCTGACTGATAAACAACACAGTGATGCCCAAGAATATTAGGTCTGGGCATCGTGCCAGGGTTAGCTTCTCCACAGACACTTTTATTCACCTGATGTGCCCCAGTCAACTCCAGCTTGTAGTGTTAATAGGATGATACTCTCCCAAGTCAAGTCAGCTGTAAATCTAATGTGAATTTAGATTTACAGCTGATAGTGTAAGGCGGTCTTACGCACACAAATAATACAGCACCAATACCAATATATTCTAATATATTTTATCTTTTATGCACACTCAATCACTTTTATTTGAGGTAAAAACGCACTCTAACAAGGTCAGTCCTTTAGAAAACTTTCAACTTAGAAGTGGTTGGTTCAATTACTTTTATGACTGAACTGAATCAAAACAAAGGGGACTAGAAATTATGTTAATTGGAGTGAAAGAGCTTAGGTAAAATAACAGTTTTTGTAGGAGGGGAGCAGCTGTGTTACCTAAGCGAGGGGAAATTTTGTGTGTTAAGCAGACAAACACACACACACACACACACACAGGTTCCCTTGCTTCACACTGTTAATCTAGGCCTATGGTTTGAGGCACAAAGTGTTACTTTCAAGTGCACCGTGACTAAAGTTAGTGGACAGACAGCACTGCCTGTGGCAAAAATACAGAAATACCCTGTATCTGCATGTGTGTGTACGTGTTTAGAATTTAAAGTGAAAAGCTTTAAGCCTCATTGACGAAAGCCCACTTGCAGTCTAAAGCCATTAGCATTTTTCCGACAGGATTGTACTCAAGGTTTTCTAGGGATAGTACCTTTGATACACCAGGCAATACACTGCACCATGAGACCAAATGGGGCCAAACACATCTTTACACATTTATATGTAAAAATACACACATACATGCAGTGTCTACACTACTATATAGTGACTGCATTTTGGACATAGTTGAACCAAAAAGTAATCCACATTTTAGTTTTACACTAAACTATATTCAATACCTATAGTAAATATAGTAATTTTGTTTTATTTATTTATTTAATTTTTAATTATTTAGTTATTTTAAATCAAGTCCCCTGTGCCTTAAATTCATATGAGTGTTGCTTCAGCTAATAATGTATGTTTAGGATTAGATTTTATCTCATTAAAACACTTTAAAGGAATTCTTCAACATTTTGGGAAGTATGCTTAATTGATTTCTTGCAGAGAGTTAGATGAAAATAGTGACATTACTTTCATATCTGTCTTTCAAAATGAAGTTGGAGTTAGGGGAGAGTCTGTCTAAAAATAAAAATAGAAATCGCCTACCAGCACCTCTAAAGCTTACTTACTAAGGTTATATGTTGTTTGTTTAATCCGTACAAAAACAAAAGTTTACGGGGTTACGTGTTGGGACTATTTCTTGGCCGGGAGCATTGACTTCCTGCAGTCACCACTCATAGCACCAATAAGCTAACCGGCTGCTGGCTGTAGCTTCATCTATAACAGATATTAAGAGTGGTATCAATCTTATCATCTAAATCTTAGCAAAAACTGATAATAAGTGTTATTTCCCAAAACGTCAAACCATTCCTTTAAAGGAAAATAGATGTTGGCTTGTGCAGATGACTGGATTTGATAGCCAGCAGGTTGCCCTGGAGGTAGATCTCTATGCAATTAACTATAGTAGCTAATTTGGGGGGGGCTAATTTTAGTGTTTACTTTTGGTCAGACTTATCATTTTGTCATAAAAGCATTTCCCAAATCTCTGCAACATTGGTGGCAAGTTAGCATGAGGATTCTGATTAGCCAGAACTACCATAATTATAGGAATAAAACCTAGTGTTCCCTAGTGTTCAAAGTGACTCAAATAAACCTCTCTCTAATATTCTATAAAATATGTTAAGATACTTTATAGTGAAATTAAATCCACTAAAGGACCTCTACAACAGTCCACAGATCTCCGGTTTGAGAACCACCTCTGCAGCTCACATGTATATTATGAGCTGTCCCCCATTTCTCACAACAGACAAATGTGCAAACACTAGGAAGGATGCCAAAGGGCGTTTGGAGAGAGATGTTTAAAGCTCCTGCCTCACATACTAATGAGAATCCATTACTGTCTCATTCAAACACACACAAACACACACACACATCAACACATTCTCATTCAGCGCACAAGCATCTGGCTACAGACACCCCCCCTTGTCCCCTATGCCTCAGTGCCTGCCAATTACAAAAGAAGTAATCAATTCCACCACGGCCCCGTCCAGGGAAATCGACTTCAATGACACCAGCTACATGGCCGCTGTCTCTGTACCTGACAGCCACTTACACACAAGCAGGGCCCCAGCCAGCCGGCTCTCTGCTGCTCTCCACTGCAAGGCCAGGCAAGACAAACCACAGCACTTCATTCAGTATCACAGACAACCTGTACTTACTCAGCTCCACCAAAGAGAACTTAGGAAGTAATAACCTATACAGTTACAGCAGGTTTGCTATCATCTGATGATCAGTGTTTTACTCACTGTAGTTTGATTTTACATGTATTAAATTAACTCCTAAATAGTAAATTTAAGCTTAAATTGTGACATGCTCATCCTTCCATTTTTGGTAATAATGCATTACAAAAATAAGTAGAAGCTTTCTAATTTTAAATTACAAGAGAAGGAAAATTGTGTATTTAGGAGCAGTTGTATGGCCCCGCCAAGCAGTCAAGTTGTGGTTTATATCCATGTCTGTCTAGACTCATATAATATATGTGGTGAAGACTTTGAAGGAATTATATAAAGGGTATATTAATAAGAAAAAGTACATTTTGTCTAAATGGAAGTTATCACTATATTGATGATACATATGTATGATTTCAGTGAATATACACTTTTGAACTGATTAATGGAAGATTATTATAGATAACATGGCTAGACAAGTACATATGTACTTGATTACCATGTAAAGATGGTTTCTTATATAGAGTATAGCTGCACAAAATATGTTGTTTTTGTTGTCTCCTGGTATTTTTAGATACGATGGCTCTCTGTGAGCTGTGGGTGAAACTCATTTACTCACTCAAAGGATCACAATTCGCTAGGTGCGCTCCGGTACATTGTTTGCATGATTCTGATGATGCTTGAAATTCAGAATGAGGCATTAAGTGAAAGGCAGACTGGATGAGTTGGAAAGATGAAAGCCCATACTGTACTAGATTTTGTTTACTCGTACTCGGCAAATTCATTCTTAAATTATGGCTAAAAACCTATTTTGAGGTCACAATGACATTTGACTCAAAAGCGTCACCACCAATGCAGTGTCCGACCAACTGTGAAATGTAGTCAAGTTCTCCCCTTTTTGCTCCTGAGTTATGGTGTCGAATAATGGCCAAAAAAGGACATTATGATGTCACAGTGAAGTTGACCTTTTGGATAGAAAATGTCGTCACTTCATTTTTGTATTCCATTAAACGTCTGTGTGAAATTGGGTCATAATTCTCGAGCTAAGACCAAAAAAAACGTGTTTGTCAAGGTCATTTTGAGGTCACTTTGAGTCCTCCTCCTGTATTAGTGTTTTGCAGTAAGCATTCCTCTTTTGTACTTTGACTGTCAGTAAGGTCATTTAACTGAGGACATATCTGTGTTTATTAAATCACTGTATTTTCAACAGCCTAACAGGCAGAGATCAGAGAGGTCTGGTCAAGTTTGTGTGTGTACAAACTGATCTGACAATAAAGGCAATGTTTTAACCCCCCCACCCCCCCTAATTTGTCTGAAATATCTTTCAACTTTAACAACAGATTTCAAGCACCGCGCCATCTGGCTAGCGTGAAATATTGACAGCTTTAAACACACTACTATATTAATTAGAACCAGCTTAGGTATATTCATTTCCTGTTTTAGTGAACATAGCTTGCCAGACTGCCTCCTGTCAGGGCAGACACTGCAGGAAGTGTGCAGGAGCTTGCCAATGACACTCATGCAGCAAGCTTGGCTACCTAACTTCCACACAAATGCTGTAACACGATGGACCCTTACAAAATGTTCTAAAGGGATGCAAAGCTGCTACTGGTATATGTCTAGGTGGACATCTAGGTTTTCTGCGTTCACACATACACATTAAAGCAGTCTCATGAAACTCTGTGTGTGTGTGTGTGTGTGTGTTGAACTGACTAATTTACAAACTCTACTTTATATTCAGTTGTGTTAATGCAGTACGCATTACTGAAATTATTTTAGTTTAACAATGGCGCCTGAAATGGAAAGACTCTGTGCTTCTGCTTCTGTGTGTTATAAAACAAATAATATTGGCTCTCGCGTGGTTGTCGATCATAGCATTGTGTCGGAGGACATGAAGTTGAGCTTTTTCTCAACTTTCCCCTGTATTGACGCTGGGTGCCTTTTACATCTCTGTAGCTCAGCGGGTTGCATCAGGCTGCAATGCCAGGTCCCGTTCACAATGAAAAGCAGCCTATAACTCTCCCAGCTTTCGGGTCCGTATGTCTAAAGGGGTGTAACGGTAAAAATATGTAATGAGAGTTGTAGTATGATTATAATATATTTCTTTACAAAAGAAAAGTTTCAGTTTGCCTTTAAAATCTCAATCACTGATAAATAAATAATTGCATTAGAACAGATCTCTGAACACCCCCTGAGGTAAACAGCTGCTGACAAGCCTTGCAAGGTGGTAAAGGCCATTTGGTACAGAAAAGAAAAACTTATGAGGTTTTTTAATCATGAGACTATGGTGGAATTTATGGTGCTGTGAAGGTCAGCCGAATCAATTTCTCAACATGAGACTTACAGAGAACACTGTAAGCTTTAGTCAATGGAGTAATAAATCTCTTCGCTGCCATCATTTGTCTCCTCCCATCTCCATCACCTCCATTTTCCTTCCACCTCGTCTTTCTTCCCCCTCTTTTATTGTACTATCTTTGCCCATTTTTCATGTTCTCTTCACCCCTCAGCCTCTCACCCTCCTCTCTCACAGTTTGCTTGACTTATCTCCCATCGTCTTCTTTTCGTAGCCCTTTTCCCTTGTATCCTCCTCTTCCTCTCGGTGCATCAACAACAAGCCTGACATTGTAAAGCCAGCATGGAAGCTCTGTGTGTGTCTGTATGAGTGTATACCTGCAAGTGTGCAATTATCTGTGTGTGTGTGTGTGTGTGTGTGTGTGTGTGTGTGCCTAGGAAAGGCTGTAAAAACAAGCCGGAGGGACACACTGCTGCAGCAATGCACTTTATCTTCTAACACTGGCATACAAAAACAACTACACACGTGTACATGTGTGTGTTTGTGCATATGGTCTCAGAAATGTTCACAATGTTACCTTTGGCCTCTTTGTACTCTTCACAGATCCTTCTGACGGCTGCCAGACCCTCCTGTTCATCCCTCCCACCTGAAAGAGGAGACATACACGCAGATTAATACAATATCTGACAAGCCCTTAGAGGTCTTTCATAAAATAATACTGATTCTCCTCTTTTTGTCAGTCCTGTGTTCTTTCATCTTGTAAAAATGTATTTCCACCAAAGGGTCTTCAAATGAAAAGAGTACTTGATTGGTCATTTAGCCCTTGAGGAAGAGCAGCAACTCTGGTTTCAAAGACTTCATAGTACTTTAAAAATACAGTTAATTATACCATCAAATTTGCATAAGAATAAAAGTAAGCCTGGTGGCAAATTACACTATGATTCAAGTAATATTGGCAAGAAATAGAAAACATCCACTACACCAAATATCAATCAAAGCAGAAGTATGGATTTTCACTCTATGAAAGTAACATAAAGTGCACTAATTTGATAATGGGTGTACAGTGTTAAATAAATACCTAGTGTATTATAAAGTGTTCCAGAAACAGAAACTGTGTGTCAACAAACAGTACATTAATACATTTACTTTTTTTTAAAATGTTTTAAAATGCTCAGATGCCCTGGTGAAAGATACAGGCATTGAATAAATGACTCTAGGGCCCACTTTCTGTTCACAGAGGATGTCTGCATACAAATAAACCTTCACCTGTAGAGGAGTAAATATTCAGAAATGGAAGGTGAAAATATGAGAAAGACAAATGGAGGAGAAAGAGAGCTGCTGTCTAATTTACAGACCCTTATTTTTGGACACACCGACAAACACACAGACAGATAAATCTATACTCTCACTGCCTACAAATCAGTTAAGTGATTACCGGTAGTCAATCGATAAAACATTGATTGACAAAACAATAAAACATTACTTCTCAAATGCTGCTTACTGACACACACACAGGCGCTGCAAACACTCTTTTCCCCCCAAACTAATGCACACAAATAGCCTACATGCACACTCTCATTTTCTCTCTGCGCGCGCACACACACACACACACACACACACACACACACACACACACACACAAAGACACACTAATCTTGGATTATCACGCAGGCCTTTTTCAAGGGCACAGCATCATTTACCCTGATGCACTGTGGTTCAGGCTGGGCTGAAGGATGCGGCTCTTCCGGGCAACGTGTCAAAAGGGTCACACAAACGGCACAAACACGCAGTGAACTCACACAAATGCATTCTTTCTTAGACAAATTGTTGCTCTTCAACAGGCATCTCTGCTTATGAACCAAGAATGCTGCACAGCGACACATTTCTGCACAACAGCGTTTGGTCAACGTTCTCCTTTATAACAGACTCTGATTAGAAATATGCCCCGAGGTATTAATTTGCCCACTAAATATTTTGGGCTGGGGGTTAAAAATGTAACCTAATTAATATGCTTAAATAATCTTGAACAAATGGATGAACTGAGCGTGACACAGGGTAAGAAAATCCTAACATAGAGGTCATACTTGGAAAATTATACTCACACCTGTAATAAGTTCAATATTAATCTCATGTCTCTGTGTTAACTAAAGAGCTGGAGACATAACTAAATGTAAAAGTCTTCTACGCACAATGTATTATGTTTGTTTAACCTGAAATGCAACAGATTTCAGGTTTTAGTTAGCTATTTCTTGACACACAATATCTTCGGTTATAGTGTGGGTTGCCAGATATGGTCATTGACATAGGTTTTAGGTTTGGTCTTTCGTATAGAGTATACTGTAAGCATGATGATGGTATGACACCTGGCAACTTCCCTGTGACAACAAGACTTTTATCTGGTGTACGCAGCTCTTGGCTGTTATTGCAAAGGGAAAAAAAGCTCAGGCATATATATATATATATATATGGTGTTCAGCTTTATAGGTACTTTACTTTTGAACTCAGGAAGAAACGGCCTCCAGTCTTTATGCTAAGTTGGGCTGAACACATCCTCACTCCACCGTTGTCCTTAAAATACAGACATAAAATTGCCACTGAAGAAATTGTTTCACTGAAAACATGTTCTCCAAAATGTGGAACTATTCCCATAACTGTAAAATCTGGACTTTTAAGCTAAAGAACTTTGTAGCATTTTTAAATACTGATTGCATTGTTAGATCAGTTGTGATGTCTTGCTGAGTTTGTAACTACATTCATCCTCATACATTTTTATGGAAAGCAACACATTGTAAACACAGTGGCGCACAATGAAAAGCTCAGAGAAGGGGCTGGTAGAGGTTGTTTTGTTGTGATGGTCTACGGCTGAAATAAATGCTTTTTACAGCAGCGCAAAGACAGGGAGCAAAACACAAAATACTGGTGGTGTAATTGAAAGCTTATGGTGAGAGCCAATGACAGGCAGCAGGGGAGATAGTCGCAGGAATCACAGACGTGATGGATGGAAATCAAAGTTTATGAGTCAAAAGTTGAAGCACAGAAAGAACAGCCTACCCGACATAACAATAATGATATTGTCTTATGACATTTCAATCAGATTTGTTTGAAAACAGTTTTTTTTTTTTTTTAAATGCTGTAGTTGATTTTGCCCAGAAGAAGGTTCTAGGATCAATGTTTTCCTAATCAATAAGTGTATGATCGGGCTGCGCAGATAATCAGTGTGCACCTCGAGGCTGTCAGATCCGGTAGACTGATGGCTTTGGCTGTAAAATGCAGTATTTTCTTATGATCTTTCAGAGAAATCGCTGACAGATTTGGAGCAAAGTTGGTGGTGCATTGAAAGCCTTCAGATTCAATACATTTTGACACATACAGGTGCTAGTAACTGAAACTTTCTCCCTCTTAGATTTCAGTTTTCTAATATTAAAATATGGCATATGTGTTTTTTGCTACTAAATGACCATGATTTCATATAGGTTACCATTATTGGGGCTGATTTCTGTGTCCTGCTGCCCTTTCTTGGTGTGTAAGAAAGCAGCCATTTCTCTTCACTTACAAGACATGGCTCATTGTTGGTATAAGATGTGCACATTTCCCAAGGTTAATCTGGTAAATCTGTACTTCTTGATTAATGGAACAGAAAACACTCGTTACAGAAGTGTGACTGACTGTTCACTGATAAATGTCATCAAGTCTCATGTAACAAATCAGGCCCTCCGGAGACTTTTTCTTCTGGTAAAGCAAATGCAAAATAATGTAGATTTTCAGAGGACGAAGATGATTTCCTCTGTGAGTGCAATTCATCAATCCCCCTTTATCACAATGTGTTAGCAAACCCAGTGCCAACCAAGTACCTTTCATAAAATCATAAAATGGGGAACAGGAGACAAGAAATCTTCAAATACTGATTTCTTTAGGATATCTGAATTACAAATTTAATTAGAAATGAAAATATTACATCCAATTAGCAGAATGAAAACAGTCTGATATCTAAAAATAAAGCTTACTATATTAAATTACTTAAAAAGAAATGCATTTATACTGCACATTTGCTATTATTTTCATTATTTTTCTTCTACTGGTGCACACCATGCATGTATGCTGCAATACACATTTCCAGTCACTCTCTTCACACACAACGCTTTCTTGTATTCAACACACAAAAATGTGTCCTCTTTTTATTTTAGTTTCTGTCTAAAATATATTTTGCACCTGCAACGGCATTTTCCAACACAAAGTAATTTGCGTTTTATCATCTTATCCTAAAAACACTCCAAACGGCATCATTTTGATTCAAAATCTACTCCAAAACACTTCAAGCGCAATTGCATGCTGGTTAATATCCAACTGTGGTATTTGACAGTGCAGAGGCTCCAACCATTAACTCTCCTCACACAAGCACCATGCTACCACTTCACCTGAAATATGCATCCACTCCATTATCAGAGAGGAATCCACTTTACCATAAATATTCTCACTTCATGAATTATCTCAACAGGTCGGGATATTTGAAATGGAGATACCCACGGAATCCTGATGGATCCGCTTCAATACACATAGGATTGTCTGGGACTGCAACAGACGCTTAACCAAGTTCTTCACGTATTGATTTTGTGTGTGTTTTCATACGTAGGGCTCAAGTCTCGTTTATGTTCAGCTCAAACTGTCTCCAAGGATAGTCTGACATTGACTTTGCGGTATACACACTGAATGAATAAAGCAGAGTTTTCTTTAAAGTTTTGAGGCTCGTGAACTGAATGGAAAATGCAGTCTTAGCCTGGAAACCAAGCTCATGAAAACATATTGCTGTTCTGTGCACGGCACCTTGGAGGTGTTAAGAACCTGCAGTGGAAGAGGTCTTTTGTGGAAAACAAACAAAAAAACACTAATATTTTCACAGTATATGACCAGTTTTTAATGTGTCCCTGTCAGTATTAATCACTGTCACCTCAAATGTCTGTTAGTTATTGTAGTAATAGCCTCATTTGAATGTAAAACACATTTCCTCCTCATATTCTTCTCTGCTTGCTTGTCTGGATGTAGACTCTGCACAGACAAGCAGCTGTGATGTTACCAGATATAAAGCATTATTAGCAGACTACACCAGAATATACACCGTTCACTCAACTGCCATCTGCATTTCCCCTTCTTTGGCTTTACTATTTTGGGTCTTAAAAGCTTCATTGACTTTATGAAACCCAACAATGTTATGGTTAAAATCTCAATTATTTGCTTGAATAATAAACCACTACACAGAAATTAATACAACTGAGAATTACCCACCAATAACAACAATCAAGTGTAACCAAACCTTCATCAAATTAATTTAGATTAATATCTTCTGTTTGTATACGTATGCCTAAATCCACTGCTGTCTCTGTCTTTGGGGATAAAGAAAAAGAAAATACAAGAAAAGCCATTATTTCATGCCAAAAAAGGTTAGTTATGGAAAATATAACATTAGTTTAACCAATTAAGAGTTGCAATTATTGCAAATACAGATCATGATGTTTCAGCTGGGCATCTTAACCTGCAACCTCAATTAGTTTAGTTTACAGTTTAATTTGCAAGGGACATGTACAATTAAAAATGATTCAAGTTAATTTGCATTTTCAGTCCCTGGGCAGGAAATACAACCTCTCTGTATTTTGTAAATTAGGTAATATAGTTCAAGTGGGTAGCCATACAGAATGTGAAATGTAAAATCCCTGTTTAGCTGTTACAAGTGAAACACTCTCCTCATGACCACAAGTCTTTGAGAGGTCTGTGGTTTGCTCTAATGGCCTGATGATTGAGTTTAGTTGAAACCAAACCCAGTAACTGCAGACTACAAACAAAGGGGGGGAAAAAAAGACTAAAACTTGATCCTGCTGGTTTAATGGGAGCAGCAGAAATGACATCAAGCCCCACGGGAGTGTACATTTGAGGAGATGCTAATGGCAGTTAGCTCAGCTGCCAGTTGTGGAGTGTTGCTAGGAGAAATCTTTGATGAAAAGGAAAATGCACTTCAAAACACAAATCCCCAGGAAAACCCTCCAGACAAAAGAACAAAGCACAACAATACAAAAAATGTAACAGGATAGGAAGACATCTTACCACTTCTGTGTGTCTCTTCCAAAGAGAAAACTACAGATGTAAACAATCGGGATGTAAACAGCTTCAGATGCTGTTGGGCACATTATGATTAAGCCAGTCACTGTTCAACAGATCAGTTGTCGTGTTGTTTTACCAAGCTTTGCTAGACAACTTATTCTTTCCATAGGACTGTTTACTGTAATAATATTTTCACATTTACATTTATGCAAAATGCACACTTTGAGCGCCCTGGAGGTTAAGGTACTGACCATGGGCCGCAAAGTCTAAGTCTGACCTTGTTTCCTGTCATTTCAAATGCACACACAAAAAAGAAACCCACACTTTACAGATCTTTTGCTTGGAAATGAAGTAGAAAAAAAAAAAAGCAGAAAAGGCTTTGCTTCTGAAGGCCATCTGTATCTGTGTAGCTGAGAGGCTCCAAGGGAAGCATATTTTGTGACTTGCTGAATGTCCAAGCACCACCTAAACCCTAAACGCAACAAGTAGTGCAGTATATACAGAGTATCGTCTGCATGCCCAGGCTGCTGTCTGTGTCAGCTTAAGTTTCTAAGTTGGTAACGTTTGTCCAGGTCAGTTCTGCAGTTAAAACAGGAATTAAGTTCTGCTGAGATACACGTTAATCTTTGAACCTACTGTACACAGAAAAAGGTTGATATGGGTAACTAACAGGAGGTTGCAGAGGACCCAAATCAATGTAACTTGAAGTGGTTTGTTGAGCTGTAAAGAGGCAGTTTATGCTTATGTCGCTCAGAAAAGAATGTTTCAGCCATAAGTAGTTGGGAGACAATGCCTAACTTCAAGAAGGGAATTTATTTTCGTAATTGCAACGCAACAAAACAAATGCCCACAGACGACCTGCGTTTTATCTGCAACCGACTAGAAGGTGCAGAGAAAATTACACAAATATGCCTCAGTTCCTTTTATTGATGCCGACACGATTTTCTGCATTGCAAAACAATAATGTAATTTAGTAGTCGATACCAATGCCAGTGAAATTCCACGATTCTCGATACCAATTGCCCCCAATCCACATTTAAAATCTGCTGATACCGAGTCCTGATCCAGTACTTGTACAGGTGAATAGCTCTGTATTGCGTTAAGAAATAATGGCCTGCAACCAAGCTGTTCCTTAATGTTTTATATACTTAATATATTAATATTAATATATAGCCCATTATATACAGATATATTTTATAGTAAATAAGTAAAAAACCATGTAGGCTATAAAATAACAAACCCTCTGTAATCTGTTTTTATCTTGTCGATCTCATCTGGCTGTCTGGAAGGAATTTCTTTCTCCCTTTGAAAGTGTCCTTCAGTGTTTGTTGCTTCAGTGCAGCCTTTTACCTAAGTTACCTGAATGAACTGTATTCTGCTGAATGTTTATTTTCCCCGTCTTTTCATCTTTTGCACGGATTACATTAATAAATTACTCTTATTGGCTTTTTGTTCGGGGGGCTTTTGTTGCACTTGCAGAGGTGTTGTGAGTGTGTTGCTCTCCACCTCTCTCTGTCTCGCCTCTGACCAGAAGCTCTCACACACACACACACACACACACACACACACACACACACACACACACACACACACACACACACACACAGAGTACGGAGACACAGACACAGACGGAAAAGACTGTGCACAAAAAAGTTTTGCTAGTAAATCACCTGAACAGCTACAGTTGTCGCCTTTTCGACATGTTCTTCCTCTTGTGGCAGACTAGATGATTTGTAGGCGTATATGCTGCACCGTTGACATTGTCATGGTACAGAAGTATTGCTTCTTGTAACATCATGTGTGTTACAATGGGTAAATACTTTATAATAACATTAACGCCATACAGAGAGGCTTAGCAGACTTTTTTCCACTGAGAAAATTGATCAGGAGTTAGTAAGGGAATCGATAAAGAAGTGGACCGGTAAGCAGAATCGATAATGGCATTCGTATCAATAAACTCTAATCAATTCCCATCCCGACGTCCCGACATGTTTCTTGGTCAAAAAAGAGGCCTATTTACAGATGCATCAATGTGCACAAAATGATTCACTTCAGAGCCATGAGCCTAGAGTCAGAGGGCTCAACAAAACGCTGAAGTGTGCGAAGGAGCTGAGCCGTTAATCAAAGATGGAGCCTCGAACTGCGTAACACGAAGGAGAAAGACGGAAGACATCAGAGGTGTAGTGATCAACATATTTAAGTAAGTGGCTCTGGGGATACAGAAAGAATGAGTGATAGATGTGGAATATCACCTTGGTAAGTAGGTACTAGATGGCACTTCAAGGAAGGAAGAAAGAGAGATAGATATTAATATACGTGGACAATGGGACTTCATTCAGCTGACTATCTATATAAAGTACACACAGTAAATATTTAATCTCACTGTCTTCATCTATTATTTTTGTATCACACTGGTAGCAGCTATAAATTTAGGACTTGTGAGCTTGTGTCTAGCTTTAACATTATTTTAACCATTTACACAGATCCTTTGAAAGAGTTATTATGTCCTCAGTTTGGTTGTTGGTTACTTTCTTCATTTGAGTTTGAAATAAATGCTTTGCACATTTTCAAGTTTCACATAGATACAGAAAAAAAAACATGGTATAAAGCATTTTAGCCATTTTGTTTATAAGACTTTGATGTACTGCATTTATCTGTGAACCACAAATATGACTAAATAATTAATGGAACAATGCCAGACCTTGTTTTATGCAAAAAAGCCTCTCATAATCCTAAATTTGCATTTAACACTCGGTTTGATAACAGCCTTTTAATCCCAGCAGAGCTCAGAAAGTCTTTACATCAGCTCACAGTGGAGCATCACACATATTTTCTAATGATGAAAACAAACAGTTTCCATGTTATTCCAAACATTAAGACGGATCAACGGGGTGTCAAGAGGCCTCTGAACGCACTGTTGACCGTCTGATACTAAGTAAGGACCTCTGACAGCGACAGGCTTTTAAGTAGGCACACAGAAAGGATGCATGCAATATGACTGGCACTGCAGAGCCATGGTTTTGTTCACTGTCCTATACACATTACTTAATTATGAGATAAGATATATCTGCAGCCTAGTATCTCGGTAACCCAACCAACGTTGATCATGGATCTCACTTTATTTAGCTAGACTGAAAAAGATGTACTGTGTTTTCCCACACTTTTGGAATCTAGCCATTCAGAATTTCCAGAATTTAGGATATCCATCTCTTAGATTTCTACAGACCTCTCATTACTCATTACTCTCCTAAAGTTGTACAAACGCCACCTAGATTTATATTCAACAAGAAAGTAAACCCCTTTACTTATTACCTTGTTAGTTTCTAATAGTCACAACATAACAGTTAGCTGTCCTCTACACAGCCTCACACGTCTTTTCAGTTCTTCCTCTGTTACTGCTACACAACTGGGTGAAACTAATCTCAGCCTGTTTGGCAGTGATTGAGGCATTCCCACCATTATCTGTGGCGAGACACGGCTCAATTCCGGCTTCAGTTTCACATCTGCATGCAGGTACTTGACGGATTGCTTTGTCATGTTTGCTGCTATGGACAGGTGATTCTGAGTGGGACACAGTTTATACTATGGTGATCATTTCACTTTTATGTGATATATATTCCAAATAACCACTTATCAAAGCCTACTGTGTAAAATTGCACTGTTCTGGTCTACCGAGCACTAAAAAGCGCTTTACAACACTTGCCACATTCACCCATTCACACACACATTCATTCATACACTGATGGCAGAGGTTGCTGCAAGGTGCCAGCCTGCTTAGGAGCGATACAGCACTTCCTATCCAAAGCGGTCACAATGACACTAAGCTCACCCATTCACACACGCTCACACACCGACAGCACAGCCATCAGGAGCAATTTGGGTTCAGTTTCCTGCCCACGACCCTCCCGCTCTACCGCCTGAGCCACAGCTGACAACAGTATACTAGTATACATATATATTATATATACTGTATATATACACAAGCAACAACTTCATCAAGAGTGAACGCATGACAGGATGCGACAGGATCAACTTCATCTCCTGTGATCATTCAAATACACAGATATTTAAACAACCAGCAGCTGTTTCACAAAATGGTCTGAGTGAAAGCGGGCAAACCTACATCCATAAGGCTGCTTTTGTTCATATGCACAGTCCTAGGTCTTCCACTGTTCCAGGCCTATACTCTCAATACGTTCTGACTGAGTGAGCCTGCAGTTTGAAAAACAACACACCCTCTACTGAGGTTAACTAAGGATTGTTTTGATTTTAACTTATCTCAAAAAATGTTATATACTTGCTTTTATCTAAAGGGCTTCACCTATTTCCCACATTATGTAGCATTTAAAGGGCACTACAGAAAGATAAAGGTTATTACTGGTATTATAATTATGACTGTGTGTTTGCGGTGGTTTTGTTTTCAATTTAAAGCCAAGCTCTCTGCTTCTAGACGTGTGTTCATACTGTTAAAATGTGTGGTGCTTGATACTGTACCTATGATAACATGTGCCCCCAGTCTGGCCATGTGGCGGACTACCTCATAGCCGATTCCCCTGCCTCCTCCTGTCACTATGGCAACCTTTCCATCTTGTCTGGGCATCACTAGCAGAGGCAGAAGAGGACACACAGATATCAGGAAGAATGTCGTTTGATAAGGGAGCTGCTTCAAGATGGGCCGCTATTTCAAGACATGAGAAGTCCTTGTAGTTAGACCTGTAGATGATCTCAGATGAACTTTATCTAGGTTTTTGAATTCCTATAGTACAGCAATGTTACTTCTCTTACTTAGAGTTTCTGAGTTGTGTTGTTAAAATGGATTAGTGTAACAAGCAGGATGGTTTCGTGTACAGTAAAAAAACAATAACAATAATAATAACAAATATTTCTATATAATATAAACATAGTTTGGTGAAACTTCTACATTGGGTACGAATTGTGCCCACTAGGAAAATGAATTTACATTTCACTGTGATTTTGCCTTATATGATTACATGTGTCAAATAAACTTGATTCATTGATTTGATTTGATTGAAATATTGCCCTCAATAAATAGATAAGCCTAATTCCTTCATTCATTCACACTTCACCAGTGCTCCCTTCAGTCAAAGAAAGTCCATTTATAAAGCCTTTATAGCTGTGCTTCAACTGGACTATATTAGAGTTTACCATGCTTTTTTTGAATATCAAATTTGCATCTCAATTAATAACAATTAATACCAATTAACACCAATTAATACCAATTAGACAAACAATCAGTACCTTCTAATGCATGTCTGACTGTTGGCCTAGCGTTAATTGCATCACCCTCTATCACAACACTAACACTAAACACTGAAATATATAGATATAACTCCTGGAACAGTATCTATTAAGTGAACAGTTAACAAAGTAGTGTATTTCACTGACTGATAGTCGGTTGTAGTAGAGATACGTTCTGTTCTCTTGCGGCACCAGTCCAAACTGCGTTATAAAAAAGTGCAAATTAAAACCCACATCGCTCGGCTACAAATGTAGACGCTTTAAAGAACATCATTTGAGAAGAGGGGGATCCGTTAAGCTCTTCGGTTAAATTCGGCTACCTTAATACACAAGAAACCCACTTTATTTCACTATTTCTCACATGTTTCGACTTTTACACTTCACCATAGCAACGTTAACATAAGTTAGCTAGCTTTGACGTTAACGTAAGACTGCTGCACCACAGTGACAGCTCACACCGAGATGGAAACTGCTCCTTTGTAACGATAACTGCATTAATTAAGTGTCTTCATGTTACTACCAGCGTTAATTACAATGATCCAGTGTTCATGACTCTTAATAAGGTTGCCCCGTTACGGAATGTGACACCTTGGCCGAACTTGAAGATGAACTGACCTGGCAACCCGAGAGGTCTGCTGAACAGCTGAACCAGCAGAACCTTCAAACCGAGCAGATACAGTTTGACAATCGGTAGCAGGTGTGACCAAATGGCAGACAACATCTCTTGCCCGGTGCTGTAACGGAGCGAGCAGCGCGGAGAGGAGGAGCTGCTCCGTAGGGCGGAGGAAAGTGCAGCACTTCCGTCTACGGGACGGGTTCCAATATGAAGTCGTCCATCCTCGCTTCCTTCCTTGTCGTACCTTTCTATAAATATTTGCTAAGAAAGACAGTGGAGAGAGTTATTTTCTATTCAAACTGAAGCCCAGCAGTGAAGTGGTGCTTAAAGAAGTGGGTGTATTCTTAATTTGTGCCCCCTCCTTTTTCCCTTTCTTCAGACCATCCAGCAAAGGACAAACGCCCTATTGCATATTTAGCTCACCCGAAAATGGGCCAGTAGTATTTGCACATTGCCACTTCTGCTGCTTGACTTCAGGGAGTAAGGCTCATCATAATAAATTAAAATTAGCCACAAAAGAGGTGCAGATCAATACTGACTGGTGAGACAATTGCATAAAATGATGCATTTTGATTGAAAGATTCCTTATTCCTTACTCCATCCACTCATAAAAACTGGACAACTGTCAATAGCATGCCTTCACCATCCCAGTTAAACAACTTAATGCTGCACATCAGAGTTGATTTAGAACTGGGTATATACCCAATGCCAACTGAAATTCTCCGTATACCCTGCACTACACCACTGCTAAAGCCTATTTTAAATGTTCTTTTCTTGAGCTTGCCTTCTTGACTAATTGTTCTGACAGCTCACTGACTTGTTGACCTTGAACAAGAAAAAAAAAACAAAAGAAAAAAACATCTCTCACAGCAATCCATCATTTATCTGTAGAGGTGGAATTAGTGTATGATGGAGGGGGACTCGTCGCTGCCGCTTGGCTGCTTGATGTGCCGTATGATCCGTTTCTGTAGATCCAGCATATTGCTCCCTTCAGCTCACTGATATCTTATTAACTGCTGCCAGACACAGGCGGCAGAAGCAACAGAGGCATGACACACTAGTTTGAGGATACACAGGCTTTAAGAACATGTTTCGGGAGCAGTACAGCTCCTGTCTGCAGCTCCCAGATGCAATTTGGCTGACTGGTGTATGTTAGGCTTCCCTCTCCTGGGATCACTTGAGTCCATCACACCAGTCTAGTCTTATTAGAGGCTAGTCATGCTGCTGTGATAATTAGTCAAACAGGACCTCAGCTGTGAAAATCATGACATTTTCTGCCATTTGAGCACAGATTCTTTGATTTAATCAGCACAAAGTTTTCCATTAAAAAAAATATGCAGAAAAAAGGTGTGATTTACAATAATGTGCTACAGGTCACACAAGATTTAATGATTAAAAAATAATTCAATCTACATATATTTTTCATGTGGGGCTACAATGTTTTGATAAGTAAATAACTTAAAATAAAAATGTATAGCACGTAACATAACAGTGCTGATTACAGCTTCAGTAACAGAGTGAAATCATTTTCCACTTCTAGACATGAGCTGCCGACACTTCATGTCACACATGATGACTTCCAATCAGTACTGTGAACAGCTGATAATGAACATCTTGGACGGTTTCACTGGGTTTAAAGAATAAAATGTCAAGAGGACATTTTTTAATAATGTAATAATTCTATCTTCTGAGGCTTACCCCATTTCCCACAGCTAACTTTTGTCACTTCCACCTCAGTCCCCTGACGCTTTGATGAACATGATTCGTAGTTGTTTCAGTGCCGGAGTGATTACATTTTGCCAAGATGCTAAAAGACTTCACACATCACATGATCGAAGTTACTATCTGTATGTAGCTAAATACATTCTGATTGCATGAGCGGCTATATCACATACAAAGAGCAGCCAAATAAAGCCAGACTTCTCTGATGAGAGCATCCTTGTAAATATATGCCTATTGGTTGGGGTTTTACACAATTAATGAAAAAGTCATTCACCCACCTGTTTTTGAACAAGGCATACCCTCCTACAAAAGCTCAGCTGAAAGTGGTTACACGCTCAAAGTAGTTACATGAATGCCCCGATGTGTGTAATTGATGACTGTGCAGCTATCAGGCAGTGATTAAAAGCGCAAAGTTGTCATTCAATCTTTTCATCTTGGATGAATGTTTATTTCAGTCTCTTGGAAATAGCATGAAAGGACACCTGCTGTGCTGAGTCACCTTCCCATAGCAAAATGTTAAAATGCTAATGGCCATCATTAAATCAATTCGACTTGTGTGAGAGTGAACACTGATTAAGGGTAATCACTCAATCTACATCTGGTTGCCGTTTTATATAGATTGACATGTACGAGTAGCTTTGCATTTTGTGGGAGGCCGTTCAGTTTGCATTGAATGATACGCATGATGTGTCTATATAATACCATTATATACTATATTATATATTATACATAATACTATGATCTTTTGCACATTTCTGCACAAATGATACAGCTTCCATTTAAAATAAGTCATACTGTACATATTGTCTATTATTGTCTTTATAATATTTTTTCATATATTATTGTCAATTTTCTGTTTCTATCTGTGTTTCTGGACTTGCAGTACTTGTTTTCATCTTTCTTTATACTTTTCTTGTTCTATGTTTATTGTTACGCACCAATATATGAAGGCAAATTACTTGTATGTGATAACCTACTTGGTAATAAACCTGATTCTGATATTAAACAGAAAAGGCTGTGATACAGACTCAGTACAGTATCAGCACATGTATTCACCGTACTACAGTACAGTTTGGAGATACTTTTACTTTACTTGAATATTTCAATATTTTTACCACATCTACTTCTACTTCATCGATGGCCAGTTATTTCACAGATTCATATTTTAAATTAGAAAAACATAATGCAAATGTAAAGTACAATGCATTGTTACAGACTAACCCAGCAGCTCCCGACCTCTTTGGCTTACAAAAAAAGTGTCTAGTTGGGACCCCTGGTCGTCTTTAAGATTCCTAAGTTGCTAGCAGCTCTACCAGAAAGACATTTCCCTTCTAAACTTCTCAGATGGTCCAAAAAAATCCAACAACAATTATTTTTTGTTTTTTGTTTTTTTAACGATTTGTGTAGCAGTACTCCATGTTCATCTTCATCGTCCTCTTTCCTACCCCATTATTAATCTTGCAACATCTCAGATTTAATGGGAACCACTAAATACAGTGTATAAACTATTTAAAACTAGCTCCACCTTGAATATCAGATACACATTGATCTAACAATGTGATACATAATAATAAATGGTCACATGGGCCATTTTCTTGCGGAATGAGTAGTTTTTAATGCTTTAATTTTGCTGATAATACTTCTGTACTTTAACTTTTAATTAGGGTTTTGAATTGGGGATTATACTGTACTTTGAATCGAGTATTGGGATCAGATTACTGTATACTATCACATTCAACAAAAAAGGAGTTGGATTGAAGTGGAGCTTGAGCAGTTACAGCCACAGTGGCTGGACAGACAAGTAAAAAGACAAACTGTATCTCACAATTCAACAGAAAATCCTGTCACAGGACCGGCCACAACATTTGACTGACAGGTGACTGACACACACCACAGGACTGATCGCTTGACTCAAAAAGAATGTCACAAAATCAGAAGATTTTCAGCCAAATGTAGGAGTTATGGTCTTGTCTCTCCAACACAAATCTGAGCAGACGGCCCACTGCTGTGATGGATTGTGTTTGGCTAGCAGGGCAGCACCAGCTGAATTATCACTGGCACTCAAAGTAGGCCAACCAAAGTCCTTCATTTCAACTAAATTACAATCATCTATGTTAAAGACAGGTCTGGGGCATTCACAATCACTTCTCCTTTTTTCTCTTTGGCAGGGAAATCATTAGTATTAGTTTGTGTCTTGCTCGCTATCCAATAGTTGAGGTCAGGCGAAAGCAGCAGTGCTGACAAGCAGTTGGCCCTAGTTATTAAAGCTGCTTAGAAGGCGGTTAAATGAGCAGCAACATAAAGAGACTGTGTCATCATCACCACTTCTCTGATGGAGGCTGAGCTGTGTGTATTTAAATGTGCACGTGTTGCTATTAATGCAAGCTGAGAGGATGTGTGTGTGTTTGTGTGCATGTGTGAGTGTGAGTGCAGCCTGAGAGGTTGGGGGTCACCGAGGCGAGCTGGCCTGCTATTGTTTAAAGGAAATCGCATCTCACGCATGACTATGGGATGATTATTTGGGATGATGGGACATCAGGGAGACAGTCCTTTACACACATAAACACACACAAATGAAGACGTATGTACGCACACACAATACATGCTGGGAACAGGACATGACAGGAGGGTGTGTGATGTAAATAACATGTGAACAGCATCCAAATAGCTCCAAACAACAGTCACCTAGTCTTATATGACAACCACTGACTGGCTGCAAAGCCCAACTTGTCTTATTTTGTAAATCCAGGCTGACAACAGCTCTACGGGATCTGTGTGTGTGTGTGTGTGTGTGTGTGTGTGTGTGTGTGTGTGTGTGTGATGTGCTGCCTGTTCAAATGTATTCATTATTTCATGTTTCACATATTATTCCTGGTGAGAAGAGAAGGTAGATGATATTGGATATTTTTGGCAGAAAATGCCACTAACAGTTTTCAAATAGTTTTGACACACTGTTCCTTAACACTTCATACCCCACGTTTGTTTTTGTTGCTGATCAGCTGCCACCCACGGGACATGGCAGGTGAAGTGTCATATTGTGAAGAAAGGGGATTTTCCGGGTGTGTCACAAGCAGTTTGGGCTCCAAAGTGCAACAGCTTGTGTGAATTAATGTTGTCTTTTTCTCTCAGTTTGAGCTGCCTATTTCAGAGCTTTTCTCCATCTAAGAGGCAGACAATCAAAGATGGACTCTCTCAGAGCTCAGAGAGTCAGCCAGAGCTGCAGGCTATGCAGTGCCCAGCCCCTAATGAGACAGCACATATGTATTTATATGTAGGAAAGACAAACCCATGGGGAATGCCTTATTTTGAAATCTGAAGCACAGAGGTCTGTATGCACCATTTGAAATAGAGAATATCTGGTGCGTGTAAATAACAGCGTCTTATGTGCATGTGCTGAGCAAACCACTGCGTCCTTATATCACTGTTGATGTACAGTATGTGTGTCAAGTGTTGTCATGTTGTTTGAAAAGGGGAATCAGTAACACCACTGTTTCTGGCAAAAGTAGAAAGTTGTAGTGAGTACACTTGGTCAAGTACTG